TATATATATATATATATTTTATATATATATATATATATATATATATATATATATATATATATATATATATATATATATATATATTATATTATATTTTATATATATATATATATATATTATATATATATATATATATATATATATATATATATATATATATATATATATATATATATATATAATATATATATATATATATATATATATATATATATATATATATTGTATTTATAAACTTATATGGTTTTATAATAGTTCAATTCAATTCAATTTTTTATAGTGAAGAAAATAATGAATTCTTGTTCTATTGGGATTGAACTAAAGTTAGATTGTCATAAAAATACATTCTGTGGTGTCAGTCTGAAATTTTTGAAAGATTGTTAAATAAAATCTGACAACTCTCACTTTGGAGCATAATCAATTGAACTCTGCTTTAATTCTTGGGAAAAAAATATGTTTTAGTTGCATTAGAAAAATCAAGAATGTTGAAAGTTGAAGAGAGAATAGATACAGATTATTTATTACCTGATCTTTGAATTCATTTGAAGCAGAAGGGTGTAGTAAAAGTGCAGCACAAATTGCTACACATAAAATCTCTACTTTTGATTATCTAGTAGGACAGCTAAAACAAAAGTTCCATAATGAAAATAGTATTTCAAAGAAAATAAAATTACTCACTTTAGATCCATTGGACCATTTAGAAAACAATAAATGAATTTAAAACAACACAATATATGGTAAAGCAAGCAAGAGCTTTGCAAGACAATAAAGGCGTCCTTGGTGAAAGATCAACTGACATAAGAAATTCAAAAAAATTGACTTCCAAAATTATAAATCAAATTGTCAACTTTTATGAAGATGATAGTAATAGCAGATTATTGCCAGGTGCAAAGAATTATATTAGCATAAAAACAGTTGAAGGTAGAAAAGCACATTCAGAAGAGACTCATATTATGTAATCTTGCAAAACTATACCAAAAATGGATAGAAAAATCAAATTCTAATGATATAGTTAAGGTGATATTAACATTATTTGCTTTTTTAAGGCCAAAATACTGTGTACTTGCTGGAAAATCCGGCACTCATACTATCTGTGTTTGTATATACCACCAAAATTTAATGGTAAAAGCATTTAAAAATGAATTAAAGTTAAAAGAACTGATGGCCTTAGCTGTATGCTCATTAGAAAATAAAGCATGCATGTTTCACGAGTGTAAAAACTGTCCCGGAAAAGAAAGAATTGAAATAAAGTTAAATGATCTGGTTGACAATTCAGCAAATGAAATAACTTATAACAATGGTTGAAAACTGATAGATACTCCATAGAAACAATAGTTAAAAACCTTGATGAGTTTCTTAAAGAATTAACAAACAACTTATATGAACTTACAAAACATCATTATGTCAGCAAATCTCAGACATACTTTTTGAAGCAATTAAAAGAAAACCTGAAAGCAAATGAATATATTATACAAATGGATTTTGCTGAAAATTTTTCATTTGTCATACAGGATGAAATTCAGGCATCATATTTTTCTAAAAATCAGGCAACTCTTAATCCATTTATTATATATATGAGATCTTAAATGGAAAACTGACCCTAGAAAGCAAATGTTATTGCATTATATCAAACAATCTGATTCACAATAATGAGGCAGTCTTCACTTATGTTTCAAAAATCATATTTATTCTGAAAGAAGAATATCCAAAAATTCAAAAGATTCATTATTTCACAGATGGTGCAAGCAGTCAGAATAAAAATAGGTAGGTTAATTTTTTAGTTCACCCCATTCAAAAAATTCTGATTAACCAATTCTAAACAAACCATATTCAGCTATTGGAATAATATTTTTTTAAATTTGCTATAGAATAATTAGGATATTGTTTTTTTATTAAATTTATTGATTTCACTTTATGAATATAATTTTTCTTAATGTATTATAGGTTTAATTTGAAAAACCTTTGCTTTCATAAATAAAACTATGGGCTATAATAGGATTGGCATTTTTTTGGCACTGCACATGGAAAAAGTGCATGTGTTGGAGTAGGTGGTACAGTGAAAAGAATAATTAATAACCTGTTCCTCCAAAGGCCAATCGGAAATCAAATTTTGACACCAAAGGACATGTTTTTGGTTACTAAAGAAAATTTTAAAAACATCAGGTATAGTACTTTGCTGTCTAAATGCACATAGATTTTGGTTATGATTTTTTTCAAATAATGGATGTTAATTCTAATAAAACAAACTTTGAACTTTTTGGTATAAGTTTTTTATAAGGAAAATTATAAAGAAAATGGTACTTTAAAATAAGAGCTTACTAAATATATATTTAAAATTTTTTGGATTATAAGATTTGTTAATATTTATTTTTAGATTTCTCTACATTTCTGAAAACAAAACAGCTGTTAACACTCATGAAGTACTTGCTAAACGATTTGAAAATGTTCCAGTAATCAAAGGAACCCGTTCATATCACTGTTTTTCACCTTGATCGTGCTGTTTAAAAGCTTATGTAACATCAATGAGCACAATATTTGACATTTTTCACATGGAAGATACTTGTATTATTACACAAAAGTCAGTAACTGTTGATATCAATATTGCTGATTGAGTATTAGCGCATTATTTTGGGGAATCTTTTCCTGGAAAGGTGATAGATGTTAAAGATAACTATATATCTGTCAGCTGTTTACATAGAGCCGGCAATTATTTCAAATACCCAAAAACACAAGATATCCATTGGTATCCAGTTAATGACATTATTACCACGATACATGAGCCTGAGCTCCAAAACACAAGAGGATTTACTCCAATTTAACAAAAACAAGATTAAATAAATTATATTTTATTAATTGTTTTGAATTAGCAACTAATTATCAATTAAAAAGTAAAAACCAAATCTAATAAAAAAAGTGGTTTCTAACAAGCTTTGACTTTTTCCTTTATTAACCTTTATTTATTTCTTTTATAGAACTTATTATATTTTTATTATAATATTATGAAAGTCTTATTAATAAATTTTCAACATAATTTTTTAAAAAATCATAGGTCTTTGACTTTGAGATAAAACACTCTTTAATTGTGTAAATAATATTTAAAATATCACTATTTAACAATAATAGTGGATTTTAACTAGTTATTGCCTTTTTATTTGTGCCCCTACCCAGGTTAAAAAATAGATCAGCATGGGGGCAATCAACCATATCTTTTATTTATTTAGGAAACAATTTATAATCAGTTGCACCCATTGAATATGTTATTATGCAGGTTAGGGAAGAGGGGGGGGCAACTGGTTTCCAATAATGCGTCCAACCCTTAATAATTAAAAAGTAGGGCTATTTTAAAATGCTGCCATTTTTGTTGCGAATGCAACAAGTAAAAAATATTTGCATTTTTAGATAGTCGGATCTTATGGTCTTTATTGCTGTTAAGCTTAGATCAATACAAAGTGTTAGAAAAAATTACGAGCATTTCAAAATGGCTGAAAATGGGACTTTTTTGGCAAACAAACAATACATATTTAGATGTATTTCAGTACTAAACTGCAACAAGCGGCTAATTTTTTGCCTGTTTGTTGTAGATAAGAGTAGCTAATCAGAAAACAACACTGTAGGGATTTGTTGCAGAATAGAGAAGTACTACAGTTAACTTCATTTTGGCCTTTTTTTAGCATTTTTCAATTTTTTTTCAAAGTTGAGAAGGCTATAATTTTTTTGATACAAGTCAACAAAAACTAGTATTTTTAATACAGAACTACCCAGAAAACACTTCTAGAAAAAATGAGACACTTGTTAAAAATAATAAAAAAGTTATGAGGGTTTAAAGTAGTCTGTTTTTACAATTCTTAAATCGAGGAGGGCCACTGCCCAGTGGTAATGGAGCTATATTTTCTGAACCATTACATTTAGAGGTCTGAACTTTCAAATTTAACCTATATACATAATGTAGTTAATGATATGTAAAAATCAAGGAAATCAGAGATGGTGCCCCACAAAGTTTTCTCAAAATTGGTTGAAATATAATGATTAGACCCAATTGTTTTCCTTAACTATTTAAATAAATACTTCTACTCTAATCACTATTTATTTGTATAAAAACATATTCAATAGCAATGGTTGCAAATTCAAAGTATTGCAACCTAATCAATTGATAGTTCTTGTACTTCAAATGGACAACAAAGAATAGAAAAATTTCCAACATATTTGAATGTTATAATAAAAATTTTGAAAAAATCAATTAAATAAGGCTCTTAACAAATACTGAAACCTTTCTTAATTTCACAAAGAATATGTGTCACTTGAAGGAATGGGAAGGTCTAAAAAGTTCCCCACATTTAAAAGCTACAAAATGATTATTTCTTCTTGGTTTTTGGTATCTACGAGATCCAAAAATATAAAGAGGCTTATGGTCTAATTTTGAAAAAAACAATTGAGACTATTATGTGAGAGGAACAATTAAAGTTTGAACCCAGAGTCTTTATGTATAATAGCGGCAAGGACTCCAGGACTCTGGTCTAAAAAACAAAAGGTTCCAATTCATAAAATATTGTGAATACTTTTCTTATATCATAAATCACTCAATACATTTAAATTTCCTAGACAGCAGAGACCAAGAAAAAATAGATATTAAAAACTGCAGTCTTTTTAGGGACTCTGCATTATTTGAAACTGGTCACTTGTTAGATAAAAATCCACAAAGTTTAGGAATCTTTTATATTCTGCTTAATTTCAAATTTAAAATAAACGCATTGTTTTAAAAAATGCATTGCTTAGCTACATTGCTATTTTTACAAGAACTTGATATTTAATAAACCTATAAGCATATATTTGAACCTAGTGATAAACAAAAATTAATAAAGGCACACACAAATTTACATGTTGATTAAAATTATCAAGTTTTAATAACTGATTCTTATAAAGACTTTGATGCCTATTAGAATTATTTATTAAGTAATTGATAATATAAGATAAAATCAGGATTATTTAAATAAATAACTTACTGACTGATTTTTCTACTCGCATCAAATGCTTTTCAATTTTATCAATAAATTGTTTGTTTACTTCTTGAAGTGAACCAATTGTGTTGTCTTTTTCAGTAATGGTAGCATTTAAAAGTTGCTTGTCATTATTTTCATTTATTTTTTGTAGCTGCAAGTCTTTTTCCCATATTTCTTTTTTTTTGTTAAATTTAGTATTCACTATTTCCTTTTGTTTATCCTCCAAATCTTGATTAATTTTTTTTAAATTTTGAATTTTTTTTTCGAATTCATTTTTTTCTTCTTTCGTTTCGTTTTTTAACTTTGATAATTCTGATTGCTTTTCATTTAGCTGTGATTGCAAATTTTCAATTTGTTTTTTTTTATGGTAGATGTCATTTATAAAGGTCTCTTGAAGAGATTTCTTTTCATTTTCATTTTTTGACTTGATTAATGCAATTTCCTGTTCTTTTTTATTTTTAAATTCTGCAAATTTATCATCATTTTCTAAATTAAAACTTTGGTAAAAAATTTTAAAACTAAGGTTAACCAAAAATAAATAATCTTCGTCAGACAATTCATGAAGCCATTTTTCAGCTTCGAATTTTGTTTTAAAACGATCCATTAAGTATATTATTTTATATGGAACCTAACTACATAAGAAAAGTCGATTTGTATTCAATGCAATCGTCTATTTACTCATCTGACGACTAAACAGAGTGAAAGAAAGAGGTAAGGGGGTAGAGGGTTAGCTGAAGGTTCAATAAATAATAAAAAAAAAAATTAAAAAAAAAAATTTTTACTCGTAAAAAAAGGAAAATTTTTTTAACTAGTTTTTTTGTTTTAAAAAGTAAGATTATTTACAAACTCTGAGGCTCCCTTTTTTTGTTTATTTGGACCTCTCGCTTACCGTTATTGTGAAAATAGACGATGTTTAACTGGACTTTTTTTCCCGCCTAGTGGGTATGCGTTGTCCGTAGGTCGTCTGTAAGACGTCTCCGGACGACGCATCGACGACGCATGCCCACTGGGCGAAATCAGACGCCGAAACTTTTAGACCGCGGGCCATAATAAAATAAAGATCCTCTAAAGTTAACTTTCGTGGTGCAGTCGTGAGATTTAAAAAATTCTTATGTAATTGAGCGTTTTAGAGCGAACATTTTTCAGGCATGTCTCAAATTATTTTACAAATTTACTTTTATTTTTATGTTAATTTACTAAACTAAATTTATTTTATTTAAGTAAGTTACATATAACACAAAAACTAAAAATAAAATAATATTATAAATCATTTTAATTTAAGTCATAAAACATAAAATTTTTAATATGCGCAGCTAAGTTCTTACCATTAACAATGCTATAATGGTGATGTTGGGGTAGATTTACTTGATTAATATAATAGTTATGTGACATGAAGTTTTTAAATTAATCAAACACTAGGTTATTATATGTAATTGAAAAGACCTTGAAAACAGTATTTTAAAGGTTAAAAAATTATCAAAATTGAACAACTCTTCAAAAAAAAATTTATAGCATTTTAAGTACAAAATTTTTGACATATGAATTTGTTGAAGAAATTGTAACCAAATTTTAATTTTTATTAACTTAAAATGTCATAACTTTGTCAATTCGTATCAAAATTTACAAAACTTGATATCAAAAAAAGGTCTTAAAAAGGAGAATAAGGATACATAAAAAATGAATGCAAGGCTTTAAAAGGGGTGTCTATAACACCATTTAACAAATTCAAAATCTAGGTTTTTTCAAATAAAATTTATTTTTATTGAAATTTTGATTTTTTTAAAATATTTTTTATACTTTATATATACTATCCAACATTATTTTATATCATAATATACATATAAACATTATTAATGTTCAAATATTTATTATGAAACGCCCTCCCCTAACTACCCGTGTGTATAGCGGAACTCAAGTCAAATATAGGTACCTATTTTTGGTGACTTAATAGTAGGGTGCAGTAATAACATTAAAAAATCTTTTTTTTTGAAATTCATTTTGCCTGGGTGTGCTAAAGTTGTCTATTCATATCAGAAATACTCTGTAAAAATGTCAATGCTCTTGGAAATTATCTTGAGGTGCCCCAAGGACTTTGAAATTCCCCAAAATCCCCAAAAAGTGACCAACGGAAAATTATTTTATAGTTAATAAAAATTAATTAATAAATAGCAATAAAATTTTTTTGATTGAAATTAATTTTGTCTGGGTGTACAAAAGTTGTCTATTCATATCAGAAATACTCTGTAAAAATTGCAATGCTCTGGTAAAATATCTTGAGGTGCCACAAGGCTTTGAAATCCCCCAAAAATTAAAAAAATTCAATTATTATTAAATTCATATTTTCACAAAAAAATCAATGGCTAAAAATAAACTGATCTTGCTTTCCGATTTCTATTATAATAAACCTGTATGATGGTTTTAACATCATATCAGAACCTAATGAAAATATATTTATGTAAATTGTAGAACTTTGAGTTGCCACAAAAATTAAGAAGAAAAATTATTTCAAACAAAATTAAGTAAGTCTGATTCAAGTTTATTTTCTGTCAGTTAATCATTTCAAAAACGTCATTTTGAAAGGCTGAAATCAAATTTTGTGTTAAAGACTTTCATAGCTGATCGCGACTCTATTCTTGCACAAATAAAACCATAACGCTGAGGTTCACAGACTGCCATACTAGCTCCAGTGACTATCTTCACGCCTCTTTCTACAGACTGAGTGTGACATGGAAAACTTTTAAATTGTAGCATTTCTGAGGTCAGAATGCTGTTTTTAAGCTGAGTTGATTCAATTGATCTGAATATTGGAGGTTCAGCACTTTTATTTGATGACCAGTTGATTATGTCTGTATAATATGTTGCTTCAAAGTTTAGCGGTGGTATCTTGAACAATCTAACTGTAGGTTTAGCCTCGGTCTTGTCGGATATCGATCTTGCAGCCAATACACGTCTTAGTGCTAATTGATGAATGTGGGGTTTTTCATCGGTTGCCATTGATATTAATAAGTCTTCTGGGTGAGCAAAGTATGCATTTCTTTGGATTACAGGATCAACAATTTTCTTGAGCTCGATAGGCAAGTATCTGGTATAATGCACCATTCAAAAGAGATGGCGACTACCATCCGTACAGGAATGTATTAGACTTTACTTCAAACAAAATAGGTACACATAGCTTTTGTATGTAAGTTACAAGAATGATCAAGTTTTTGTCTGGCTTTTCTATAGATACATATAACCGGAGGATACGACTAGCAGTTGTTATCCTTCGAGAATGACACATGGATCCCGGTTTTCAATTACCCAATTCAAAACTACATTGGCCACTGGATATTGCTTAACACATTTCATGCAATTACCTTTGATCTGTACTGAGATCATTTGCACATATGCTGGACAACACATTTCCTTCGATTTGTTGAAAACTGACAATTGGCAAGTCCTTGTTCTTCAATAATTTTCCAATTGGACCAATAAATGAATTTGGCCTTTGTGTAGATCCATCCAGGTTAATCAGGAAATTGGTAAATCATTCATATGTAATAAACATACAAACCAGTGTAGAGATTTGGTGAAACGAAGCTCGAGAAATCAAATAACACCACCAATATTACCTGTGTTGACATTCGTGCCATCACATCCAATTGCCACCAATGAACTGGTATCAATAGCATTTGCATTCAAAAATGATATAATGCTAATCTTTATACTTTGTGAAGATCCCTGTGATGTTTTAACATGTCCCAGGTATTCAGAACAAGGCTCCTTTATTAACACAACGTGCTCCTCGGTCTCCATAGCTGGATGATATCTGTTTCCTTTAATGATCTGGCTTCGAGTTTTGTCCTTTCGACCATCAAAATACAACCCTTCCAATGTTTTGGCAGCACCAGCTTGTAAAATTTTTCTCTTTTTCTGTCTTTCTCTACAAATTTTACTTGGGTCAATAACATCAGATGAGTCATGTGAACTATTAATGCCATAATCAACCAAAACAGCCGATGCTAATGCTGCAGCTGAGCAATCCGATACTCCCCATCGATCACATTCACAAACTAATGTTAGTAGTGGAGTTCGCATTTGAGAGTTCAAAATTTCTTGTGAGCTTGTATTATTAGTTGATGATGGTGACTTAGGCGAGTCTGTCATGAAGTCAACATCTTCATTACTATCTCTTTCGGTGATAGCTTCATCTAAATCACTTAACATGACATCATTAGAATCATCCTCCAAGCTACAATCTGGATGCGATTTCAAAGTTTCAGCATTTGTAATTGATTCACATTTATAAAATCTCAATTCATCTGCAAGTTTTCTTTCCAGTTTCTTTTCCTGCTGCTTTGTTGTTTTAATATCAACGTTGCCAATAGCCATTTTCCTTTCTGTTCTTTGATCTGCAAGGAATATTATTTCATTTGGTGGAACTTTACGATTCTTTTCACAAGCACATGTTGAAAAGCCTTTTCATTTACATAGAGCAATATCAAAAACTCGATTGGAGTCAATTTTGAAGTTTTCAACTTTATTCAGGTACTGCGACTCCTTTTCCTTGGACCTCTGTTTAAATGGTTTCATATCTGAGCGATAATTGTCATGGTAATCTTTTATTTTAGCTATTATTTGCTGACGGGATATTACTGGAATTGATGCTCTGTGCCATATTTTCTCAAGATCAACAGATATCTTTCTGGTTGTTTCATCAATTGTAGCTTCTTTGGCATGGCCATCAGACAATTCTTTTCTTACTGATATAAAATGTTTCATGATATCTGCATACGAAGGCAAAACATTTATGCTCATCCGTGAAATGATGCCAAATACTGGGCATATGTTATCATTGGGGCACCTCAAGATAATTTCCTAGAGCATTGCAATTTTTACAGAGTATTTCTGACATGAATAGACAACTTTTGCACACCCAGGCAAAATGAATTTAAAAAAAAAAAAATTTCACTGCACCCTACTTAATAGGGTGTCTGGGCGTGCGTTTTTTCATGAAAATTAATAAGTAGCAAGGAAAAAGGTTTTTGCTAATGTCTGAGAATATAAGAAAAAAGTTTAGTGTTCCTTCAATACATAACTAATGCACAAACATCAAGGAAGTCAATAGAAGAACAATAAAATCTTTATAAAATTTTTCGAATTTTCATGAGAATTGTTTCAAAAATTATTTCCATGCAGAATTTATGTTAAACTATTCTAGTACTAAAAAAAAATCTGTGCTGATAAAAATTTCTAGAAAAGTAACATCATGTCACTCTTAAAAATACTGAAAAAAACGTGGCACAAAATTTGGATAAAGAAGACGGTTCTGTTAAGGTCGAATTTACGCGCACCTAATGGACCGTTCCCTCTATAAAAAAAAACCGCAATGCATTTTGGTCTTTGTCTTCACCGAAAATAAACAAATTAGAGTTAAAAATAAACAGTTAAGTAATTTAATTTAAAAAGACTTTTCAAAAAGATTTCAAGTGATACAATATCTTGTGAAAAACAAATAACTCATTCTATTAAAGAAAATATTACTGTTGAGTCAACAACAACAACAAATTACCGCGGTGGCATAACTTGTTGCGTTCCATTATGCAACAATAATTCGCTCAAAAACAAAAACTTATCATTTAACATCATCGTAAAGGAAAGTAATTTGAGAAAAATCTTTAATT